CCCCACTCCTCCCCAAGCCTGTCTCACTGCTAGGGGTAAAGGGGACAAAATTCACGAAGGGCAAAGGGCTTGCTTTGCTCTGCATGTGCCCTGCTGTCCCCTGGTCTCTGATGAGGTCCTCAGTAGGGAACTGCTGCAGAGGGACAGGGCAGCAGGCAGCTGTTTAGGGGGTCAAGGTGCCTTTTGGGCCAGGAGAAGAGGATTCAGACTGCTGAGGTGAGTTGCGGCCTCGGGTGGTAAAATGCTCCTTATGGGGGATAAACCAAAAGTCAGATGGATCTGAAACAGGGGCCTGTCAGCCAGGGATGAGGAAATCCCTGTGTGCTTAAGGGACTGACTGGGAGATGGGCAGAGCGAGGCTCAGGGTGCTGCCTCTCACTGGGCAGGCATCGGTGGCTGTTAAGATGCTGGCGAGCTGCAGAGTGGGATTTGCTCTTGGTCTTTATTGATCCTGCCAGCAAAGACAGGCTTGACCCGTGTGATAGAGACAGTCCAGGCTTTAAAGCCTTGTTTGTGCTTCGGATCAGAAGGAGCAGCCATCCCCCTCTCTCTGATCCTACCAGACACTGTAACACTGGCCTTTTTTTTTGTCTGACAGAGATGAAGCTGAAATGGAGTATTTGAAGATAGCTCAGGACCTGGAGATGTACGGAGTGAACTATTTCGCTATTAGGGTGAGTGCAGGTTGTGGGTCATGTTTTCTTGCTGGTGTAGCTCTTGTGCTGGTCTTCATCTTCTGTGTTGCTGTGAGATTGGGTGAGTGGAGCCTTGGAGAGCCAGCAGACCTGGGAGGTGGCTGTGGTGCCTTGGTGAGAGTCCTTGTGGCAGCTGCCAGGGAGGCAGAAGCTCTTTTAATACACCGTGCTGGTGGGTCACTGCTCAGGGCTGGCTGATGAAGCTAATGATGGTTCATGTCAGACCCTCCAAGTTGGAATAAAAAGGTTTTCTGCTCTTTTCTTTCCTCCTGTAGAATAAAAAGGGCACCGAGCTGCTGCTTGGAGTTGACGCCTTGGGTCTTCACATTTATGACCCAGACAACAGGTTGACACCTAAAATCTCCTTCCCGTGGAACGAGATCCGGAATATCTCATACAGTGATAAAGAGGTATGGATACAGCTCCCCTCTTCCCTGAGAGCACACTTGTGATTTGAAATGATTTCTCTTAGCTTCTCTGTCTGCTGTGCTTGCTACCACCAGCTTAGCTGAGGACAGCTCAGCTTCTCCAGTTGAAACCTTAATTCTGAGTCTTTCTGAAACCTTCCAGGAGTTGGGCGTGCAAGAGGTCAACTGGGAGCTCTTCTCCTGTTTGGTTTTAGAGTATGTTCAAACCCTCTATGGAATTTGAAAAAAAAAAACAAAACCAAAATTGCTGTTGATGTGCTTAGCCCAAATATCAGGGTTCAGGAGTTGAGATCTCTACTTGACTGTGTATATTACCGTGTATAAATACTGTGTTATGAAATAGAGTGAGCTGGATTCCTGGTGAGAAGAGCTCTTGCCATATCATTACATCATCTTGAGTTTTCAGGCTGCCGGGCTTGGCAAAACAGCTGGAATCTTTTTAGGAAGTTGAGTAATTTAAGCTTGCTATTGGATAGATATTTATTAAATCCAGAGTGTAAATAGGAGTCTTCTGAATCATTGGCCACCAAACCTGGTTGAGAACAGCAATGAAATTGGCTGTGGAAGGGAAAGCGATGGGCTCAGTTTTCAGTCTGAGAGAGCTGCTCAAAGAAACCAGCTGCCTCCATGGTAAGGAAGAAAATTAACTTCTTAATTAAAAATGGGTTTCTAATCTCAACATGATATTGATCAGGGTAAAAGCTCAAAAGTTTCTTATCAGCCACATTTTTTTGCGTGCCTTGTGAAATTTTATAAGTAATAAAGCTGTGCTGGAATTCTCTTTGCTGGTTTTAATTCTTAAAAATAAAAGAGCTTCTCAGCTCTGCAGACAACCCAGCAGTTTCCTGCCCGTGACGGACGAGTGCAGTGGAGGTTGTCTGCTCAGACAGTGCCTCGGAAATCTGGGGATTGAAGCCTCTGTAACCAGGGCTTGAGACAGGACTGTAACTGAGCTTTCTCTTAGGGGAAAGGACTGCCACTTTCCATCAGGTCAATCATCTGGGTAATGAGATGACCACAAATAAACCTGACGTGATAGTAAACAGGATTAATAGCTGGGGATGACAGCTACGTCCACACAACAGAGGGGTTTCATCTGTCCTAACAAGGACTGACTGTTTACGTGGCACTGAAACTCCTCTCCTGGCATATTTCTGCTGTTGCTTTCAACGACTGGTGGAGGATCTGCTGGAGCCTGAGTCCAGGGGTGTTCATGCACGTCTGCCTGTGTGAAAGTCTTAAAAGATTGGCTCTTAAACTGACAAAGGAAAACACGGTCGGGGTGAGTTTGGCTGAGCCCTTTTCAGGCAGTACAAGGGATTGACAAATAATGCTGCTCTAATGGCCACAGCCCGCCTGCTCCAGCCCTGGCTCTTCAGCTGGTTATTTTTGTAGCTTGTGTGGGAGTGATGGAATATCCACATGCCTTCTGAAAAATGAGGTGTTCTGGAGCACTCCATCACTTCAAGTACCCTTTGGTTAGTTCAGAGTCTTCTCTCTATCCAGTGGCTGTATTACTGAAATTCTCAGGTCTCTACCCTCTTGAGAGACCTGCTGTGGGAAAGCTCTGTGGAGAGGAGAAACCCAGGCCATGGGTAGAGCTGTTGAGTTGGCACAGAGATTGGGAATAGAAGTTAGAGCAAGGGAATAATACTTTGAATTGCAGAGCAGTCTTGTGACATGGCTGGAGAATGAAATGTGCAGAAAATCCTGTTGAGGAGCCCGTGCAAGTGGAGGTGTCAATGGGAAGGACAGCAGCTCCTCTTTCTGTGTTCCTAATGCAACCCTCCTGCCCACCCATCGGGTAGCTGAGCTGGTTCTTCCTCCCTTGAGAAGTGTCCTGAGGTTTTGCTGTACCTTCTCCACTCTCTACAGCTGCCAGGAGAGCAGCATGTGTCCAGTTCTGGAGCCCCCAACACAAGAAAGACCTGGACCAGTTAGAACTAGTCCAGAGGAGGCCACCAGGAAGATCCAAGGGCTGGAGCAGCTCTGCTGTGATGAGGACAGGCTGAGAGAGTTGGGGCTGTTCAGCCTGGAGAAGAGAAGGCTCCGGGGAGACCTTCCAGTGGCCTCCCAGTACCTGAAGGGGCTCCAGGAAGGCTGGGGAGGGACTTTGGCCAAGGGCAGGGAGTGACAGAACAAGGGTTGATGGCTTGAAAGTGGCAGAGGGGAGATGGAGCTGAGATGTGAGGAAGAAATTCTTTGGTGTGAGGGTGGTCAGACACTGGAACAGGTTGCCCAGAGAAGCTGTGGCTGCTCCTCCCTGGAAGTGTTCAAGGCCAGGCTGGATGAGGCTTTGAGCAACCTGGTCTAGTGGAAGGTGTCCCTGCTGCTGGCAGGGGGGGTGGGACTGGATGAGCTTTAAGGTCGCTTCCAGCTCAGACCAGTCTGGGATTCTATGATTAAAGGATCTTGCCTTGGGAAGTGCTTTCTCTGTCCTCTGCAAGGTTCTCTGCAGGGGACACCGGCTGTTGGGTGTTGCAGTCTGTAGGTGGACAGCACTTACTGCTTCTGTGGCACTCAGGTTTTTCAGACCAGAGGCACAGTTACCTCCTTGGCTGCTTTTGCTACTAGTTCTCTTGCTTGGCTCAAAGCCACGAGGACAGCTCTCAGCCTTGTTTGTCTGACAGCGATGACCTCCTCTGAGCCGAAGCTTTCAGTAAGACTTTTATAGCTGTGTTTTTATTAAATGCCCCACTCTGATCACTCTCTCCCTCTTTATTTTTTTCCCTTTCCAGTTTACGATTAAGCCGTTGGACAAAAAGATTGATGTTTTTAAATTTAATTCATCAAAGCTGCGTGTGAATAAGCTGGTAAGTCTACAGACAGTGATTTTCATTGCCTGCAGCAGTAGTTTCTGCCAGCAGGACGAGACAATGTTCTTCTGGAGCTTTCCCTTCGAGCAGTTGAAGGGAGCGTGCTGGGCTGGCTGGACTGTAGGTGTGGTTTGGTGTAGTGGTTACTACTCGGTCATAGCATCTAGAAGACAAGGGGGAAGCTCAAGTCAAACTCCTTCACAGAACCTCTTCCACCCTCTCCCATTTTTGTGCTCCCTTTCTGAGCTCTCAAGTTGCTGCGTGGTGGAAGCGCTTAGTAAGTAACATTTTCTTGTCACCTCTGTCTTTGCTCCAGATCCCCCTTTTTTCCTCCTGCAGATCTTCTCCACTCTGCCCTGTGACAGGTCTACCTGTTTTGAGATGCTCCATCAGAGTCGCTGTCCTGGCTTTTTTCTAGGCTGGTCCTCTCTGAGGACACTGTCCTTGTGCAAGGATGGAGGGAGATACATTGAGCTGTTCTGTTGAGCATCCGTGTTAGAGACCAGCTTTCACTAGTGTTCTGGATTTGGTATCTAGAGGAGCTTTGATCCAGATTCTGTAGTAGCTGTGTATGGTGTGAAGTTGCACGAGGGCCCTGCAGAAGGCAGAGAGTGATGTTTTCCCATCCTTGTAAGAGAGAGAGAGGAACTTTGCTGTCCTGGTTGTAAGCTGTCCGTGCTCCATGTGCTGTAGGGAAGTGGAGCTTCCTAACAAAGGCCTTATCCATGGCACTCATCAGATTCATGGTGCTGTAGCTCCTCTGACTCCAGAGAAGTCATTCGTGACTCGTAAAATGGCAGATGGGCACGTGAAACAGTCCTTTAGAAAGAATCCAAGTTTAGAAACCTGCTTTTGTTGCTGAAAAGAGCTTTCAGTCTTCTGTGTGCCCACCCCTTTGCTAACCTGCCTCTAGTATTGCCACCTTCCTTATCTTCCTCCTTGAGTACCAGAGGAAACCACATTGGTGCTCAAAACCCTTCAGCAAAGGTATCTGGAGGTGTCCAAGGAGGTTTTTGCTAAGTTGTCTGTTTGTGTGTAGCCTTATCTTGAAGGAAAGTGGTTTTCCCTTCCTTCCTTCCTTCCTTCCTTCCTTCCTTCCTTCCTTCTTTTTTTAATCTCAATGCTTTTAACATGCAGTTGGGAGAAGGTGCAAGTTCATCTTGAACGTAAAGAAAGGGAGGGGTGAGAACCAGGGCACCGGCTGGAGCTGTAGTTTTGGTTTGAGTTGTTGTTTCATCATTTGGCCTAATGCTTTTTTGGGGCTGGTACGTAACTTGCCAGAACTGTGCTGTGCTGGCTGCACGGAAACCAGCAAATTGATCTCTGCAAAGACCTGGTAGCCCAGGGGCTGGGGTTTGCTATGGGACTTAGGCTGTGCCTTGGCTCCCTGCCACTTGTATGGGTACAAGAGCTCATCAGGTTTGAAATCAGTGGGTGGAAGTGCTTACAAGCACCAAACCAAAGCACTTCTAGTGGTTTTGTGTGCCAAGAATACAAACTACCTCATCGTCATCATGTGTACAGCTGTTTCTCTCCGCTCTTCACCCTTGACTGGAATAGATTCTTCAGCTGTGTATCGGAAACCATGACCTCTTCATGAGGAGGAGAAAGGCAGACTCGTTGGAGGTCCAGCAGATGAAGGCACAGGCCAGGGAGGAGAAAGCCAGGAAACAGGTGAGAGACATCTCATATAACTAGACATGAGCCAAAATCAGAAATGCAAATGGATTTGGGAAGGAACAGTTTCCAGAATGACATCAAGCACACGGAGCAGCTTTGAGGGAAGGTCCAGATGAACATCTCTTTTTAGGAACCTGCTCCCACCTCGCCAGTCATTCTCAACTTGGCTTTGCAGGTTGATGGCAGCCTGGCAGCCCAGATCCAGCCCCCACACTTGGGAACAAAACCAGGAGGATGAAAGGAGAAAGAGCTGATCTGGGTGTCCTACAAGTGTGTGTGCATCTTCCCTGCCTTGGTTTACACCTGGGTGTCACAACTGGCAAGATGTCATATGTTGGGGCAGTTGCTTGTGATTAAAGCAGGGGCTGTGAGGGGGAGCTGTGCTTTGCTGTAGTTCTTCTCCTCATTTTCTAATTAGGTGGTGATGGAATGCACGCCGCCGTTTCGGGGTGTGCAGCCTGCATGCTAATTTGGTGCTGGCCTCGTTTATCTGCTGCAGGTCAGGCCAGGCAGCGCGAACGGCTCTTTGGAGGCAGCAGCGTGTAGCCGATGAGCATATATCAGCAAATTGGATTGTGTGAATCATTGTTTTCTGCTCGTAGACCTTTTCTACTCCCTGAAACCCGCACAGCTAATCTGAGTACTGGTGCTTGGAATATAAATGTCCCCTTTGCAATAAAGCTACTAGATAGCAGCAGAAGAAACCAAACCAGTCACTCGTACCCAGGAGGATCTTATGCTCCAGGGACTGCTGAATTAATGGATTTGAGCATCTCCACAGAGGTGCCTGCGTGGTGCTGGACTTGGTGTGGAGGTGCTTGGCTGACCTGGAGATCACAGAATCATAGTATGGTATGGGTTGGAAGGGACCTTAAAGATCATCTAGATGTGATGTGGCTTGTCTTGCAGGCACCTCCTGAAGCACTTCTTCCTGTAGCTTGTGGGGTGGCAGGAGAGGACAGGACATGAGTCAATATGAGGGTAACCAGGCCAGCTTCTCTGGGGAAGGAGGGCTTCTTGCTTCCCATGGGGATTGCTCTGGTTAGTAAGGAGTTGACACTGGTGCAGCAAAAGGTCTTCCTTGGAAGGAGCAGTGTGCTGTCCAACCATGGAATCCCAGACTGGTCTGAGCTGGAAGCGACCTTAAAGATCATCCAGTCCCAACCCCCCTGCCAGCAGCAGGGACACCTTCCACTAGACCAGGTTGCTCAAAGCCTCATCCAGCCTGGCCTTGAACACTTCCAGGGAGGAGCAGCCACAGCTTCTCTGGGCAACCTGTTCCAGTGTCTGACCACCCTCACACCAAACAATTTCTTCCTCACATCTCAGCTCCATCTCCCCTCTGCCACTTTCAAGCCATCACCCCTTGTTCTGTCACTCCCTGCCCTTGGCCAAAGTCCCTCCTCAGCCTTCCTGGAGCCCCTTCAGGTACTGGGAGGCCACTAGAAGGTCTCCCCGGAGCCTTCTCTTCTCCAGGCTGAACAGCCCCAACTCTCTCAGCCTGTCCTCATCACAGCAGAGCTGCTCCAGCCCTTGGATCTTCCTGGTGGCCTCCTCTGGGCTGGCTCCAGTAGCTCCATGTCCTTCTGCTGTTGCGGGTCCCAGAACTGGATGCAGCACTTGTGGCTTCAGGGACAGATTTTACAGTCTTGTGAGTTTTTAATGCATTTGATTAACGCCAGCGACAGCTGAGATGCTGTGCTTAGTGGAGCTGCTGGGAGAGGTGAGAGCACTGCGGGTGAGCAGGAGCTCATGAGCTCTCAAATCCAGAGTACTTGTGCTCTATGGGAATGGTCAGGCTTCTCCTTGGCTTGGCTGCCCTCTCCTGAGCTCATCACCATGCTGTCTCGCCTGCACTCTCCTCCCTCCCTAGCATCCCCAGTTGTTAACTGGTTCCACATAGTCCTTTTCTATCAGGAATTCTTGTTAATAGAAGTCCTGAACGGGATGCAAGATCGTAATGATAATTAATGAGGGGAACCTTTAATCGAAGGAAGCGGAGCTGTTAGAGCAGTGGGCGTCCCACTTTCAGAACACAGTTGGTGGCTGAGGAGCAGAGAAATGTGTCTTGTCACACTTATTTTCCTTATTAAACGCAGCAGGTGGCGTGTGCAGCGCCGCGAGTCCTCGCCGTGGCGTGGGTATTTATAACACACCCGTCTCTGTCGGACTGGAGCTTAAGCTTGGTGTGTTAATTAGCCCGATGGCTCCCTTTGTGCGCTTGGCTAGCGGAGAGGCAGTTGTCAGGCACGCTCTGTCTGTACAACATTCTCAATATCTTCTGGGAAGAGGTAGTAGGGTGATGGTGGGTTGTCTCAGCGTAGCTTGGATCTTCCCCTCCTGGAGAAGTGTTGCTGTTTCCTGCAGACTGAGCTGGAGGCAGAGAGTTTATTGGAGGGAGCTTAGAAACAGGAGGGAGCGACTTTTGACATGGGCAGGGAGTGACAGGACAAGGGGAAATGGTTTAAAACTAAGAGGGGGGAGACTTAGGTCAGATATTAGGAGGAGCCACCAAAACAAGAGAGACCTGGAGCAGTTAGAACAAGTCCAGAGGAGGCCACCAGGATGATGCGAGGGCTGGAGCAGCTCTGCTGTGAGGACAGGCTGAGAGAGTTGGGGCTGTTCAGCCTGGAGAAGAGAAGGCTCCGGGGAGACCTTCTGGTGGCCTCCCAGTACCTGAAGGGGCTCCAGGAAGGCTGGGGAGGGACTTTTCATAAGGGCAGTTAATGACAGAACAAGGGGAAATGGGTTTAAACTGAAAGAGGGGAGGTTTAGATTAGATATTAGGAAGAAGTTCTTCACTGTGAGGGTGGTGAGACAGTGTCCCAGGTTGGCCAGGGAAGCTGTGGCTGCTCCTCCCTGGAAGTGTTGAAGGCCAGGTTGGATGAGGCTTTGAGCAACCTGGTCTAGTGGAAGGTGTCCCTGCTGCTGGCAGGGGGGTTGGGACTGGATGAGCTTTAAGGTCCCTTCCATCCCAAACCAGTCTGGGATTCTATGATTGTATCTACAGTTCATAGAGGTGGTCATGCTCCTTGTGACCTCCCCTATAAATGAATGGAAGTGAAGTTTCCAGCATGCTAGATTGGACATCTGATCACAAGTAGCATCTATTCACATCCTTCAGATTCCTGCCTTCCAGTGTGTCTAGGCTTGATATTTTGAAGATGCCCTCAGACTGCCCTTAAGCCCAGTCTTGCCATCTGTTCAACTTGCTGTAAGATACTCAAGGCATAGCTGGAGCTCTGGGGACCCTACTTGTGTGAGTCAGCCTAGGAGGGTGCTGTCTGGGGCTGTAATCACCTGCAGGCAGCTTGTAGGTGGGTAACAGCCTGATCAGACGACAGGAGATTGTCTTGGGAATGGCACTTTTCGAGGGAGGAAATGGGGGTGTATCAGGTCACCCCCATTTTGTGGTGTTTCCCATGGTGATGAGCAGAGAGGAGGCAGCAGTGCAGCCCTCTGCTCTGACCTCTGTGCAGTGACCCTTCCTCATCCTATGCAAAGCCTTTCTAATGTATGTTGTTATTTCTCCTCGCTTTCCCTGATCCCTTTTTTCCTAGATGGAACGGCAGCGCCTGGCCCGAGAGAAGCAAATGAGAGAAGAAGCTGAGAGGACAAGAGATGAGTTGGAGAGAAGACTGATGCAGTTAAAGGAAGAGGCAACGATGGCCAACGAGGCCCTGGTAGGTCTCTGGGAGGTTGTTT